GGCCTACGTACACTCTCCGACGACTTCTTCGTTCCCGTCGCAGAGGAAGAGGAGTCCAGTACCTGGTGGACTGGAAGGATTACGGCCCTGAGGAGAGGGCTTGGGTTCCAGCTCGTCATGTGTTGGACCCCCGGCTCATCAGGGAGTTCCATCGGCGTAATCCTGAGCAACCGTCTAAGACCGTCACGTCGACGGGCAGAAACACAGGGAGAGTCTCTCCTCTTACCGTCAGCTCTTCAGAGGAGGACAGCGAGGGGCCGGCTTCTGATGAGGACGCAGATTCCGACAGGGGGCAGGAGAGGGAGGCCAAAAGAACTTTTTCAGATGAGTATTAATCCCACCTCCCACCCTCCTCTGTAGATTAGCATTTAGGGACGTCAGGAGCCGTCCATTAAGGGGGGGGTTCTGTCATAGTCTGCTCCATCATTCACCAGTAGTTTTCCATTCACCTGTCTCACCTGTTTTCCACACCCACTCATTAGCTCACTCTCTTTCTCTTCTGCACCCATTAGCTTCTGCCAGTATTTAAACCCGCACCTTACACACACTCTTTGCCAGATTGTACTTTGCCTCATGCTTGTCTTTCCCGCGTTTGAAACTAGATTGCCTACCCGGTTCCGACCCTGCCTGTCCTCGATCTGCCTGCTCTGCCTGTTCCCTGATCCTGCCTGTCCCCTGATCCTGCCTGTCCCTCGACTATCCTGTCTGGCCTGTTATCCGACCCTGCCTGTATCCCCGCTGACCGCCTCGCTTACTCCCTGACTCTCTGCCTGTCCCTGACTCACCTTCTGCCCGCTGTCCTCCGGTGCGTTAAACTGCTCGGTTGGAATTCCTCAGATCCAGTGGAATCTCCAATAAAGTGTATTACCAATTCTCCTTGGTTTCTCGAGTGCTGCATTTGGGTTCTCCTTAAGATTGTGACAGGAGTGGAATTAAACTCAGCCAGCAGAGCGCGGCTCTCGTGGCAGCAAGTGGAGGAACTGACAGCTCCCTCTCCGACGTGTCACATCCCGCAGGCCCTCTCCGTGACAGCTGCTCAGCACGACGTCAGCTGGTCACGTGGGGATCCCCCTGGGACTCCCCCACAGGAGGAGTCTCCAGAGGTGGTTCATTCGCCCGTGCATCGACCCCGTGCGTCAGAGGTAAATGTGCTGGAGCTGTTCTCCGGTTGGGAAGTATTCCAGCACTTCACCCCGTTGCTGTACAATCAAACATGTGTTGATTTGCACAGACAACAGGCCACGGCTATGGAAGCAGCCTACCTCAATCGCCAGGGAGGAGTACGATCTGCGCAGCTTCTGAACGCAGCCAGGCGGCTGCTGTTCTGGGCGCGCGCACACGTTGCTCTCCATCAGAGCAATGTATATTCCCGGCGAATTGAACAGAGGGGCTCGCAGAGCGCAGCAGCCGTTCTGCGAGGAGTACGGAGACTCAGACCTGTGTCACGCGCACTGGTGCCTCAGTGGGATTTGGCTTTGGTGTTACGCGCAGTAAGCAAAGCCCCATTTGAACCTTTAGACCAGGTTCCCCTTAAACTGTTATCAGCCAAAGTAGTACTGCTTTTGGCTCTAACAGCAGCGAGAAGGGTGAGTGATTTGTCTGCTCTCTCTGGCTCTGTCAGGTCTCCAGATCCAAGGAGATGGCAGTTCAGCTGTTTTACGCCCTAACCCGGCTTCATGCCTAAGGTCATCACAACTCTTTTAGGTCAAGAGTGATCACCTTGGATGGCTTATTCCCTCCTCCTCACAGGTCGGAGGAAGAAGTCGCGTTTCATCTAAATATCTGCACAACGGCTGTCACACTGGCTGTGTGAGGCTGTGTCACAGGCATATGTCTCCTCTGGGGTGGAGCCCCCAGAGAATATCAATGCGCACTCCACCAGAGGAATTTCCTCCTCCACGGCTTTGCACGGAGGAACGTCAGTGGAAGACATTTGCACTGCTGCATCTTGGTCTTCCCCCTGTTCATTTATTCATTTTTATTTGAGGGATGTCTCCCTTTCCTCTCTGACACACCCTGTACGGAGTGTCTTGTCAGAGTGAGTGACGTCAGGGAGCCAGCTGTGCGCCTCTCGCCTGCTTCGGCACGTGGAGAACGGCCCCTTTTTCCCTCTTATGAGAGGGATGTTCTTTTTCCTCTGACACATTTTGTACGGAGTGTCTTGTCAGAGTGAGTGACGTCAGGGATCCAGCTGTGCGCTCTCCTGCCTGTCTGCACGCAGAGAGCTGCTGTTCCCCCTCTTTTGTCGCTGGACAAAGTATGACCTTCGTCTCTACTTCTCACAGCGGCGGGTATGTATTGTTCCCAGCCTTCGTCCCCCTTGGAGAATATTCATGTTATGCTATTTTCCAGGGACGGTGATGCGCCATTACGCATGGCACAACAGGCAGGGGGGTGTTATTGAGCAGGTGTGTCTGTGCTTCTAGTACCGGGCGGACCCAGTGGGGCGCAGACTACATCATGCTTCGCCCTTAACCCAATAGCGATAGCCTTAGAGGGCGAAGCCATATACGAAAGAGAACTGAAGTTACCTACTGTAACTCCAGCTTCTATGAGTATTGGCTCAGCCCTCTAAGTTCTGGGCCCAACTGGCTCCACGAATAGCTGAAGAAAAGTTATTTTGTATGGGAGCAGACTGTCGGGTCTCCTTCCTATTTATACCGGAAGGGAGCCCGAGGGTGGGGCCCACCTTGCGGGTGGGCGTGGACTACAAGTGTTTCAGTGCTGCGCGGGTGCGCAGGGGGATTACCCAATAGCGATAGCCTTAGAGGGCTTCGCCAATACTCATAGAAGCTGGGGTTACAGTAGGTAACCTCAGCTTCAACACAACCACTAATAATAATAGACTATTTTCTCTCTCTGGAGGGGGGCCACAGGGGCTCAGTGTTACAGGGCACTGGCCCATGTGGCCCCTCCCTAGAACCGGCCATGGTAGGGCAGCCTGTGGGGAACTGCTTTATATCTTCTCCAGTCCAGGACCTTTCCTGGACTGGAATACCGGATCTCCTCTCTGGTAAACAAAAACACCCTGAAAACTCTGGCAGGAGCACTCATTCAAGGGTACTATGACTATGCTTGCACGTCATGGTACCATAGCACCTCCAAGGCGCTAAAAATAAAACTTCAAACATCGCAAAATAAACTGGTCAGACTACTGCTTGACCTTTCATCTAGAACCCACCTCACCTCTGCCCACTTTGACAACCTAGGATGGCTTAGAGTAGACGACAGAGTACAGCTACTTGCAATGGGCCTGGTCTACAAGATCCACTACACCTCTATGGTACCCATGTACATGTCAAAATTCTTCCCAAAGGTCAAGGAATACCATGATCATAACACCAGAGGGAGCTCCACAAATCATGTGAAACCCAGATTTGACACAAAAAAGGGGGAATACACGTTTCGCAATTATGCCACATCAAGGTGGAACGCTCTTCCCACAACTGTAAAGGAAAGTAAAACTATACTTACCTTCAAAACCTCTCTTAAAGAGCACCTTCGGGGGAGAGCATTGCAAAACTGGCCCCGGTAATGGTACAAATCTCAACCTGTCGTACAATGGACAGCTTCCCCCCCCTCATCTATGTATATACTCGCATTTTAGACTCTGTTACTAACTGTATATCTGTAGACTTGGTATGTCTTAAATGTCCGGTTAGGATGTATTAGAACGAAATCTAAAATGAAAATTGTAAACAAGCAATCTGTATGTAAAAAACCACCTGTATGTAAATTGTAAATAAGCCATCTGTATGTCAAATATGTCTTATATGTCTTAAATGACATGATGAATTGGAAATGGGGGACCCTGATGTAAACAAGACGAAAGTCTTTCTCTGGTCTGCATCCCCTTAACAATTGTATGTTTTGAGCTGTACTGTACTGTACCCAATATACAAGCTGTTAATAAACTTTTCAATCAATCAATCAATCAATCCTCTCATGCAGGGGCCGCCTGGAGGCCACTCAATAATGTTGTATCACTTTCTGCCCTGGTTAGGGGTGGGAGTGAAAAACTGGTTTCAGTTGATAACGGTTTCCTCCGTGACTCTTGATTTATTTTATCAATGCTTTCCCACATTTTGCCATGTGCAAATAAACAATACACATGCTGTATCATGTCTCAGTGTGTTAGGAGCAGGAGAGATACAACACATATCCAAAAGCATGGAGCTAAATAAAGCTCTCCTCTTCCCACACTGATGATGCTACCTTGTGAACATGAAATCCCAGTTGAAATGAGCAGGAGGAGAGCTTGTTAACAGTGATCAGAGGTCTCATTCAGATACATTGTGACTCTTTAATATATGTACAAATGAGTATAAGGTGAAGGTAAATGATAATGTATTCAAATGTTATCTTTAACAGTAACGTTTTTGGTGAGAAATTTGAATAAATGCAGTTATCTAAAGGACACATGCATTACACCTGCTGATGACCTGTCGTCCCTATTCTGGGAGAAATACTTCTCTTACAGTCCAACCAACTTTCAAAACACATTGCACCCAATGCTAACGCAGTGTTGTCCAAGTAATGACAGCCCTTTACATGTAATCTGTGAAGTACAAAAGTAGAGGGTTTTGATTCAAATAGTAATATAGGGTTGAAATGTAGTTTTATACTGGACATTGAGTAATAATGTTACACAGACATCCGTCTCCATTGAAACTGTATGCTGATGGCAGGAGGAGCTCCCTGGTGCTGTATGGAGTTACACTTTATTCATTTGTAGTGACGCTCTTGCCTTTGATGCTAATGTTCAGAATCATACAGATGAGTCATATTCTGTGGAAGGGGATGTATATCACTTTGGTAATTGTGACAAGCCTAGGTGATGTTGACATTATTCAATTTTCCTTTTATTATGTATAGCCCATGTGGGGTTGTGATGGACACTGTTATATATTATATTTTTTAAATCTGCGGCAGCACAAATTGCCCACCTGGGACCAATAATAAGCTGACTTGACCTTCTAAATATTTTTATTTTTCCCTAGGAGTGTTATTATGGCCAAACAATATGATGACCTCGGCTCGTTAAAGGGTCCCGCATTCACTGACCATACCTTTCAACATTATTCAGAAATGAATCAGGACAGGTAGGAAGGTCTGTTTTGGATTGATCACATTGTTTCATTCATTCATTGACTCCAAAAAAATGACTAGATGATTTTTATGCTCCGGTTTTTGTTAATGAGTAGCATATATGTTTAACACAGCCGATTTGAAATATATTCTCTTCAATGAATGTACTGAATGGGATGTAGGATCTACATGGACTACAATGCAACAACACCACTGGAACCAGAAGTGATCCAGGCCATTTCTGAAGCCCTGCAGGACGCCTGGGGAAACCCAAGCAGCAGTTATATAGCAGGTAAAGAGATCATTAAACCTTTTATACTATGAGATGAATGGAAATTTAATATTTTCCGTTGTATGCCTTTTCAGATAATCTATCTAAGCATGCAAACAATAAAGCATTATTTCTGAAATAAACAAATGTGCCTCCTAGGTGCTAAAGCCAAGGCGATAATTAATCAGTCCAGAGAGAATGTGGCGAGAATGGTTGGAGGGAAAGCTGAAGACATCATTTTCACATCAGGTGGAACAGAGGTAATCCTGACCCTTAAGTGTGCTGCTGGAAAGTATTTTGTGCAGAACAGTAGTATTGTGCATGCAATGGTATAACAATGAAATGTTCTTTCAGGCCAATAACCTGGTGCTCCACACTGCTGTGGAGCACTTCAGGAGGAGCTGCAGGGCTGCAGAGGAAGGGGGGGGGCAGCGGAATGGAAGCAGCGGCCTCCCTCACATCATCACCTCTAATGTGGAACACGACTCGGTCAAACTAGTCGCTGAGCACCTACAGAAAGAGGGCAAGGCGGGTAAGAGAATAAAAAATCCCAAATTCGGATCCATAAAGTAAATCTTATGTTCCTCTTATCTTTTAGTTTTTAAGGAATCGGGCTTTGATTCTCATATATTCATTGTTTTACATTTGTGTTTGGTCTGAATACAAATAATTCTTTTTTAATGTTAAATTATTCAAAAAATATATTTTCTTTTATAATCGTTATATTTTTGACCTTTCTTACAACGTATTTATTTATGTCGTTTATGTTTGCACCACCATACACCACAGCAAATTCCTTGTATGTGTAAACGTATCTGGCTTGATTCTGATTTATTTGAAAGACTAACCTAGATTCCTTGCCTGCACATTCTTTCTGTTTGGGTAACAGTGTTTTTGTCACAGATGTGACATATGTGCCTGTGTCCAAGGTGACAGCCCGTGTGGAGGTGGAGGACATTATGGCTGCGGTGCGCTCCAACACTTGTCTCGTCTCTATCATGCTGGCCAACAATGAGACCGGGGTCGTCATGGTGAGAAGGAGATAGAGGCTTACAAACCGTACTTCTCTTTCATTTTCTCTTCTATCTCTTTGTCAGGGAAGCCCTGAGCGGCAAGTGAGTAAGAACATGTTGGGGATCGCTTTAGTGATCTGAGTGGTTTGCCCCCTGTGTTTATGACTTGAGAAAAGGTGGGGAAAATATTTTGCCAGGATAATCTTACTAAACTCCTTACATTTTTAAATCTGTGAAACAATTGAAACGGTAAAAATCTGTTTTTCAATGTTTGTGATATGTGTTATTACTTACTTGAAGGGGGTCCATAGGAATAGAATATGAGGAGGATACAGGATTGTCGGAGTGGTGGCACAGTACACAAGAAGGTGGCAACCATATGTACCAAACATTTCTACTAAAAAGATAAAAATGAGAGTAGTGTTACATAGTTTACTAATTCACCAACAATTAGATTAGACTTGTAAACAGGATCATTCAAATGTATTTTCCCTCACTTGCATCACAGTGCTTCCGTATCGAACTGATAACAAAGACCTTTTACTTTTATGATCATAACAAATAGTTGAATAAACAATCTGAACATTTTAAAAGGAATAATTTGTGCTGATTGTTAGAGATTTAAAGGGATAACTGGTCCGCTTTTCAAATCTCCGCGCGTTCCTATGAAGCTGGTTATAATACAGGAAGGAATCCATATCTACAAAGTAACAGTTAACAATAATCTACTTTAATGGCAATATGACAATGCAATACAATCATTACAATACAACATGATATATTACAGTTATATTGTAATGCTTAAAGAGTAATGCCGGCTTACTCCTGCTCTTCTTCACATGCTGCCCAGCTGTCCTTGTGGGCTATTCCTCCGAGGGGGGGGGGGCTGATGATTCTAGCACTCAGCTACATGGTTCCTTCACTGCCATGGAAAGTGGTGTTCTGTCTCCATGAAGGTTTCAAGTACTCTAAATACCAGCTTCGGATGGATTTACGGACACAGTAGAAAAGAACGACAGTGGGTATATTTCAAAATGCCTTGTCTAAGTTTATCTCTGGAGAAGGAGATAAAAAGGGGGAAGGTGAGAGCATGTCCTGATTTGCATTCAGCTTAGATCTAGCTACAGTGGTTTGTGATATTAAGAGAGGTCCCTTGGGTTTCTCTGGTGGTTATCAACAGTAGCAGTTAAGTGAATACTGTTCAAACAATACCTGTGTTTGTGTTTTATATTGATTTCTCTGTTTTATCCTTTCATAAATGTAAGGACTACAAATGGCTATAAACATTCTGGGCTGGTTGGAGTAAACAGGGTTTTATTGCTCTGTGGGGGAGGTGTAGGTATGCAGGCCTTGAGACCTTTTGTTGGAAAGTGAGCCTGTTTGGTTTCCTGCTGCGTTTCCTGCTGCGTTGCGTCTCCCAATGAGATGACCTGAAAAGATGACCAGCTGACCTAACACCAAACCCCTCCTTCTTACTCTGGTATATATCCGGTGGATCCCTGGCGTTCGGCCTCTTCTTCACATGCTGCCCTCGGGTGAAAGTAGCTCTGCAGTATGTGAACCGGGGCAGGAGTAAGCCGGCATTACTCCTTAAGCATTACAATATAACTGTAATATATCATGTTGTATTGTAATGATTGTATTGCATTGTCATATTGCCATTAAAGTAGATCATTGTTAACGGTTACTTTGTAGATATGGATTCCTTCCTGTATTATAACCAGCTTCATAGGAACGCGCGGAGATTTGAAAAGCGGACCAGTTATCCCTCCAAATCTCCAACATGATGAAGCAGAGAGTTGCAGCTTAGTGCTTCCATGTATCATGCATTGAATACGATTGAAATGAAGTTCCAATGTAAAGAGAAAGAGCTCTCGGTACAGTGTAATGACCTGTATGCTGACATCGTCCTCCTGTTAGCCACTCCCAGAGATCTGCCAGAGGATAAAGCGTCTGAACAGGCAGCGTGAGCGGCTGCAGATCCTGCTGCACACCGACGCTGCTCAGGCTGTGGGCAAAATCCCAGTCCATGCCTGTGAACTGGGAGTGGATTACCTCACCATAGTGGGACACAAGGTCAGGAATCTGTTGTATAAAATATATAGTTTGTCAGAAGGACAAAAGGAAAACATTTGATTGAAATATTTTTTCTAAATATGTAGTTCTATGCCCCTCGGATCGGTGCTCTGTATGTGAACGGCCCTGGGACGAGAACCCCTGTGTATCCCATGCTGTTTGGAGGAGGACAGGAGAGGAACTTCAGACCGGGGTAACATACAATATGGTCTTACATGAGGAATAGTCAATAAAGTACCAAATATGCATAAAACAACAGCCAGAATCAGAGAGCTGCACATTTACATATGGGGTCTGTTTTCTCTTTCTCTCTGAATATTACAGCACAGAAAATACACCAATGATTGCTGGTCTGGGAAAGGTAAGTTCTCCTGGAATATTTACTATTATCACTTTTTAATGTCTGAGATATGTTCCTAATTCAATGGTGCACATTTGAGTGAGGAATTACGACTTGTCAAAGCAGTTGGGTCTGCTCTAAACTCGTGACACACTTCTTCTATGCTATTTTCCTGCCCTGTTTTATCATAATCAAAACCTCATGCACGACTTATTCAATTAAGTTGCTGTTATTATTCTATCTAAAATAGTTAAAGGAAGACTATAGCTACTATTGGTACTGTAGCATTCCTTTATTTAGACACTAGACTTGTCATGGTAAGCACCATTTCCGACATGGAAGGAATATATATGAACCTATATATTTTTAATATATGTCACATATATGTTTAACATATATGTGACATATCTGAAATTGGACCCCTACATATATGTCTCTGAACATATATGTACATATATATCCATATATGGACACACATATATGTACATATATGGGAGCAGTGTATATGCACATATATGCACATATAGGTTTCACATATAGTTTTCACATATGCACATATAGGTTGCACATATATGCACATATAGGATGCACATATATGTAAAACATATATGTGCATATAAGTTTCACATATATGCACATATAAGTTTAGCCTATATGTGCATATATGTTTATTTACACCTATGTTCAAGGTTTATACATAGCCTACCTACATAAAAAAATACAACACACAAAATGTATAAGTCATTAACATACATTTATTGTCAATACATGTCAATTATTTAGTCTGCTTTTGGCGAGCCCTGAGCTCTGTCAGCTTGTTGTTGATGGCTGTACCCAGCTGGCCCTTCGTTGTGTGTGGCCACTTCTTCATTGTTGCATCTACAGAGAAAAGAAAAGGACATAATGAGATGACAGTGTAAAAATGCTCCAAGTCTTCTACAGACTCCAAGCATTCCACTCCAAAGTTTTGCCAAACCACCTGGGGGGTATACTACGAAGCAGGATTTTCGCTTAGCCGGCTAAATTCAGGGAAAACTCCAGCTTTCCGGTCCTACGAAGCTGGTTCTCTTTTTAGCAGGCTAGATCTCCATGGTAACTTATGCTTACCCCCTAATCCCACCAGGAGCGTCTGCGCTGCGCTGCGTTGCGCTGCGGCTGCGGCGTTTTTAGCGATCGCGGCCACTCTAGTCAATGGGTGCTATTCCACCAGACACGCTGCGCCGCGCCGCGGCTCGAAGCGTCCCAGAAGCTCCTCGCCGCAAGGAATTTCTAAAATATAGGATGAATCCTATTTTTGACGCAGCGCGGCGCAGGCAGGAAGTGGAATGTTCATCCAACAACTGCGAGGCTGCACACACGACGCTCCGCTTCTGCAAAGTTTTGAAACGCGCCTGGTGGGTTAGGACGCAGGAGGAGGTCGCAGCGCGGCGCAGCCGCAGCGCAGACGCTTCCAGTGGGATCAGGGGGTTAGCGGCTAACCTGGTCGGGACCAGGGGGGTATACTACGAAGCAGGATTTTCGCTTAGCCGGCTAAATTCAGGGAAAACTCCAGCTTTCCGGTCCTACGAATGTGGTTATCTTTTTAGCAGGCTAGATCTCCATGGTAATTTATGCTTAGCGGCTAACCTGGTCGGGACCAGGTTAGGTTGCAGGCTAAGAGCTCAACTCAGTGAAAGCACTGCCTGCTGACCAATCAGAGCTCAGTGTGCGGAGTTTAAAGCGATCAAGTCATATTACAGGAGAAAGGAAATACAGAAAAGCTGCCGTTGCAGGAAAGACGGCCGGCAAAAATCACCGACTGTGTGAACGTGAACATTAATAGAATATCACCTCACATCTTTAGAGCAATCTGACTATTATAACATTAGCGTTAAGAAAGCTTACTTAAATATCTGCCACAACATAAGTAACCGGATCAGAGTAACATTAAGTACAGTCCGCGGCATATCACTTCATAATGTAGGCCTATCATATATTTTCTGATCTGAGTCAGCTGAGCCGTATCTGGCCGTGCAACACTCACATTAAGTTGACGAAACACTCGAGACAAATGTAATTAAAGTCAGATCCACTCGTGTTTTAGACGGGGCAGTGATATCATAAACCTGTTAATGTATGCATTCAAACACTTTTTCTGTTACCAGCTGTATTCACCTTGCAGGTGCAGCTATGTGGCTTTTATCCTGGATAAAGTGTTTAAGTCATGGATGTTTAAAGTTGAACTTCTTCATATGTCTAATATTTTAGTTGACTTTTCATTCAGGAAGTATGACGCTGCGCTGTCAGTATGCTTCTCCATGTTTGTGATTGGTCGAATGCTCCAGATACCACCCCTTTTATGTGAACGCGCACCTAACTAGATAGGACACGGCTGGCTTGAGCGATCCACTTGATAACCCGCGTCGTAGTACCGTTTAGCGAGAGCGCGTATGTTTTGGATTAGGCCAACCGGCTAACTCAAACATATCCAGGTTAGGTTGAACCAGCTTCGTAGTACAGGCCCCAGGTTAGGTTGCAGGCTAAGAGCTCAACTCAGTGAAAGCATTGCCTGCTGACCAATCAGAGCTCAGTGTGCGGAGTTTAAAGCGATCAAGTCATATTACAGGGGAAGGAAATACAGAAAAGTGCCGTCGCAGGAAAGACGGCCGGCAAAAATCACTGACTGTGTGAACGTGAACATTAATAGAATATCACCTCCATCTTCAGAGCAATCTGACTATTATAACATTAGCGTTAAGAAAGCTTACTTAAATATCTGCCACAACATAAGTAACCGGATCAGAGTAACATTAAGTACAGTCCGCGGCATATCACTTCATAATGTATCATATATTTTCATATCTGAGTCAGCTGAGCCGTATCTGGCCGTGCAACACTCACATTAAGTTGACGAAACACTCGAGACAAATGTAATTAAAGTCAGATCCACTCGTGTTTTAGACGGGGCAGTGCAACACTCACAGTGTCACATACTATATGCAGAAGTATTATTTTAAGCAACACATTAAGTTGACGAAACACTCGAGACAAATGTAATTAAAGTCAGATCGTGTTTTAGACGGGGGCGGGGCAGTGATATCATAAACCTGTTAATGTACGCATTCAAACACTTTTTCTTTTGCCAGCTGTATTCACCTTGCAGGTGCAGCTATGTAGCTTTTATCCTGGATAAAGTGTTTAAGTCATGGATGTTTAAAGTTTAACTTCTTCATTTTTGACTAGTATTAAAGTTCACTTTTCATTCAGGAAGTATGACGCTGCGCTGTCAGTACGCTTCTCCATGTTTGTGATTGGTCGAATGCTCCAAATACCACCCCTTTCATGTAAACGCGCACCTAACTAGATAGGACACGGCTGGCTTGAGCGATCCACTTGATAACCAGCGTCGTAGTACAGTTTAGCGAGAGCGCGTATGTTTTGGATTAGGCCAACCGGCTAACTCAAACATATCCAGGTTAGGTTGAACCAGCTTCGTAGTATAGGCCCCAGGTGTAGTGTACACAAGCTCCCCTGTGAGTTTATTGGCAGATAAAGCCCAAAGCCGGGAGCAGGAGCTGCCTGGACGCTGCAATCATGTTGCGCGCACTATCCGTGCTGAGTGTGCTGACTTTTTGTACAATGTCCCACTGTCTGGCTTCCTGCATAAAGTCAAGTGCTCGGCACAGTTGTGGCGAAATGTCGCTCCTCTGTTTTCATTTAAATAGCTCATTATATCCGTTAGCTCAGCTAGCTAGCACCAGATGCTAACAACAACAATACACGTAAGGTCTCTCGCTCGCTCGCTTGGGCCACACATACACACACCCTCCCGGTCCTCCCAATAGCCAGTCGGTGCCTGCCGGTGAGCGCGGAAGTGTGGTCTGCCACAAGCGGGCGGCAGGAGCGGGGCTGTCAGCATCAGCTTGTAGATGGTATTTTAAACTCGATGCACTCTGAAACTACGGGGCGGCCGAGGGAAAAAAATACACATGCGTTAATCGCGTTAAAATAATTAGTGGCGTTAATTTGTTTTGCGTTAATAACGTTAACTTGACAGCCCTAGTGTTTTAACAATAATGTACAATTATCAAATATTTAATAATTTACTAATCTTAAACTGATCAGCTGACGTCGAGCGGATATAAACATCCGGTTCCAGTCCTGGGTGAAATAACTAAACTAAAAATGTTGCTTCATACAATAAAATATACCGTAATCAAACAATATTGTCTTTATACATTGAATTGTCTTGGGCAATCCGCAAACCTCAATCTGCATTGAATGGAAATAAGTACAATGATTAATTCATGTAGTTATATAGAACTTTGGAATAATATGCACATTACCACATTACCTTGCAAAGACCTATGTAGGCATTCTGTATGACATATATGCAAAAAAACAGATATATGAGCTATATATGACACATATATCTCCTATTAATCCACATATATGCACATATATGAACCTGAATATGGCATATATGCAGCATATATTCTGCATATATTTGCCATATATGTTTGTATACTTTCTTTCCGTGTGGGATTCTGTATGACATATATGCAAAAAGACAGATATATGAGCTATATATGAGGCATTATGTAGGAGATATACAAATATATGAACCTGACTTTGGCATATATGTGGAAATATATGAGCTATATATGACACATATATCTCCTATTAATCCACATATATGCACATATATGAACCTGAATATGGCATATATGCAGCATATATTCTGCATATATTTGCCATATATTGGCATATATGTTCGTATACTTTCTTTCCGTGTGGGTTATAGTTCCTGATTTATTATATGTCTGTTAGGCTGCGGATATGGTGACCTGTCATCTGTCTGATTATCAGAGTCATATGCTAACCACCAAACTCTACTTGGAAGAACGGCTGAAGGTCAGTTTGATTCCAATTCAAATGTTCATATTCTTATTGTGACTGTGTTAGATGTCAACAAATGTTGCATTTTTTTAATGAAAACTACCATCACTATGCTTTTCTTTTCAGGCCATCTTCAAAGACAAAATTCACTTCAACAGCCACTTCCCGGGCTCTGATGTCCTTCCCAACACATGTAACGTGTCCATCCTGGGCCCAACACTACAAGGTGATGTCATCACACATCTGTCTCCGTCTTATGTCTGCTTTGCCTGACAGTTCACAACAGTGTCCTTTAACCCTACACCCATGTTAGTGAGAGGGAGGTCATGACCTGCGCGGGCTGTAAAGCACAGAGGCTTTAAATGATTAATCTCTCTGTTCAGGCTGGAGGGTGCTGTCCAGCTGCAGGAGGCTGCTGGCCAGCGTTGGGGCCGCCTGCCACTCAGACAGTGGAAACAGGTAAAAGAGTATGGGGGTTATTCCCTATCTTTATTCAAGAGCGTTGTCTTTAAATTTGAGAGCATAATTGATTGATTTCACGTTCAGATTATATATGTATTTCCTTCAAACCCTGTCCTCGCTCTCAAATAGTGCCTGCTGAAACTGTACGCTTGCACTCATATATATATTGCTGCTTGCACAGATTTCCCGTGTTCCAGCTTAAAAGCTTCTCCTCGCACCAGGGGCGGACTGGGACTACAAATCAGCCCGGGACTCTCGACCGGCCCACTTCGGTACCGGCCCATGGCCAGTCCGCCACTGCCTCGCACTCAGGCCGTTTCTGTGCGCTCGTCAAATGTCTGCTCTCAGATTTCTGCTGTGCGCTTGGATTTTTTGTGCAACAACCCTGTCAACATCCCTCAACAAATAGGAGGCCAGGGGGGTATACTACAAAGCAGGATTTTCGCTTAGCCGGCTAAATTCAGGGAAAACTCCGGCTTTCCGGTCCTACGAAGCTGGTTCTCTTTTTAGCAGGCAAGATCTCCATGGTAACTTGTGCTTAGCGGCTAACCTGGTCGGGACCAGGTTAGGTTGCAGGCTAAGAGATCAACTCAGTGAAAGCACTGCCTGCTGACCAATCAGAGCTCAGTGTGCGGAGTTTAAAGCGATCAAGTCATATTACAGGAGAAAGGAAATACAGAAAAACTGCCATTGCAGGAAAGACGGCCGGCAAAAATCACCGACTGTGAACGTGAAAATGAATAGAATATCACCTCCCATCTTCAGAGCAATCTGAATATTATAACATTAGCGTTAAGAACGTTTACTTAAATATCTGCCACAACATAAGTAGCTGTTCTCGAGTGAGGGAACAATGGAGCGTGAGATGGGCCGGAGAATCGGAGCAGCGGGAGCGGTACTGCAGTCGCTTTACCGCACCGTTGTGACGAAAAGGGAGCTGAGCCAGAAGGCAAAGCTCTCTGTCTACCGGGCCATTTTCGTTCCTACCCTCACCTATGGTCATGAAGGATGGGTCATGACCGAAAGAACGAGATCGCGGATACAAGCGGCCGAGATGGGTTTTCTCCGCAGGGTGGCTGGTGTCTCCCTTAGGGATAAGGTGAGAAGTTCGGTCATCAGGGAGGGACTCGGAGTTGAGCCGCTCCTCCTTCGCGTCGAAAGGAGCCAGTTGAGGTGGTTCGGGGCACCTAGTTAGGATGCCACCTGGGCGCCTCCCTAGGGAGGTGTTCCAGGCACGTCCAGCTGGGAAGAGACCAAGGGGTAGACCTAGGACCAGGGTGGAGGGATTATATCTCTTCGCTGGCCTGGGAGCGCCTTGGGATCCCCCAGTCAGAGCTGGTTGATGTCGCCAGGGAAAAGAAAGTTTGGGGCTCTCTGCTGGAACTGCTACCCCCGCGACCCGACCACGGATAAGCGGAAGAAGATGGATGGATGGATGGAACATAAGTAGCCTACACTGAGTGCAGACGTCGATGTGTCCCATTATCATTCATATCACATCATATCACATCATAATGTATCATATATTTTCTTATCTGAGTCAGCTGAGCCGTATCTGGCCGTGCAACACTTACAGTGTCACATACTGTATGCAGAAGTATTATTTTAAGCAACACATTAAGTTGACGAAACACTTGAGTCAAATGTAATTAAAATCAGATCGTGTTTTAGACGGGGCAGTGATATCATAAACCTGTTAATGTACGCATTCAAAACACTTTCTCTTTTACCAGCTGTATTCACCTTGCAGGTGCATCTATGTGGCTTTTATCCTGGATAAAGTGTTTAAGTCATGGATGTTTAAAGTTTAACTTCTTCATATTTGACTAGTATTAAAGTTCACTTTTCATTCAGGAAGTATGACGCTGCGCTGTCAGTACGCTTCTCCATGTTTGTGATTGGTCGAATGCTCCAGATACCACCCCTTTCATGTGAACGCGCACCTAACTAGATAGGACACGGCTGGCTTGAGCGATCCACTTGATAACCCGCGTCGTAGTACAGTTTAGCGACAGCGCGTATGTTTTGGATTAGGCCAACCGGCTAACTCAAACATATCCAGGTTAGGTTGAACCAGCTTCGTAGTATAGGCTCCAGGTGTCCTTGCGGGTGCGTTCGCTTGACTTATTAGAGCGTCCCGTAAGGGCGGTTACTCTTTGGTTTATAAACTCCCGCCCTCCACGGCTTTGTTACATATACTTCACTTGTTTCATTTACAACTTTTGGGGGAAAAAAGCACAGTTGATATATATAGTAGCACCTTACTATAATAGCTACGTTAATAGTAGCCGTAGCACACCCAACGCCAACTTGTGGCCCCACGCAAAGTTATATGATGAGGCCCTCTGTGACGCGAGCGCAGGGGCGGCGCCATGGGGGGAGCTAGGGGGTGCTGAAGCACCCCTCAGGATTGCCAAAGCACCCCCTAAGTACCCCCAAGAAATATATGTTTTTTTTGTTTTTAAATTATTATTATTTTTATTAAATTAAATTAGAAAAATTATTGATTACATCAATGCAAATGTGAAACAAACTAATTTTTTTACCAAAAACATAAAGCCAACACATATGATTAGGCCAATGGCCAGCACCCATTAGATTTTTGACCTACCCATAGGCTAAATTACTTTGTGACACTTGAGTGACTTCCTGTTATCTAGAGCGCCAAATTGTTTGCTAACAGCAAAGTGAAAAATCGATCGTTTTTTAGTCCTTAAACGTCCACGTGTGGACACTCAATCAAAACCACCTGAAAGCAAGAGGGATTCTGCACATAATAGGCCTCGTGAGTACAAGTAGCTTACTTCTGGGTCTCTGTGTTTCATTCAAGCTCTGCTCTGTGTGTGTGTGGCATGAGCTATTTTGTGTGCGTGCACGAGCGAGCGAGAGAGAGAGCTTGCGCACCGGTGGGTATCTACCATGGATGTATAATAAGAACTGGATACAGTGTGGGAGGCGGGGCCTCATTCATTCCTATGAGAGCTGCTCATTGGCGCATGATGATAAAATGGCCCAACTTTTGAGAGAGCGAAACGTCACAGATTACCCGGCATGCCTGAGAAGTACCCGTGTGTGCGCTCATAGAGCATGCGCAACTTTAACCACGCCCCCCAAAATGCTCGTTCACATTAAGCACGTCAATTTGTACACGTAACAGCACCGCGCGTACATGACAGCATGGTAATGGATTGTTATAGAGTGGCGAAGTCCCTCCCCTTCCGGTGGACCTCCATGGGACCTTATTTCGGAAAAATTATGTATTGAAGTCAATGGAGAGAGAAAGATTATCTTTCGATCCCGTTTGAATTGTGCCACGAATTACACATATGATGTTTGTAAATTTAAAAGATAATTTAAAAAAAAATAAAACTGAAGTAACACATTTGTTTGTGTGAAACGCTCAATGAACTACATCTCTGGTCTCGCAGAATCTCTTGTCAACAAAACGATTGACTATCACCACAATGAAACACGTCCAGAACAATGTCATGCAAAGCTGCCTGCCTGCCTTCCTTTGATTCTCTCTGAACTGCCTGGTCTTTTTAATGTTTAATGTCAACCATTTGTGCAGATAGCATGAAGTAGAAAAGATCGGCGATCGCCGATGATAGCGTTAGCATTTCTCCCCCGGGCTTAAATTGTGTATTATAGAATGATCACACCGGTGACAGTACTCTTCAAAGGGTTCACGAAATATGACTACTACTCTTACTGTTTAACATTTTGGGTAACTTAATGTTACTTCATATTAAGGCTAATAAAAATGATAAGGCTGTAATGCTAACGTGCTAGCTACTAGCTAGGTAGCTAACTTGATCCAGCCAATCCTGGTCCTTTCATCAGACGGGAAGCGAAAGAACGATCAAGACCCATTGTGTGTTGTTCTGCGAGACCAGAGATGTAGTTCATTGAGCGTTTTCACACAAACAATGTGTTACTTCCACAGTTTTATTTATTTTCACATCATATGTGTAATTCGTGGCACAATTCAAACGGGATCGAAAGATAATCTTTCTCTCTCCATTGACTTCAATACATACTTTTTCCGAAATAAGGTCCCATGGAGGTCCACCGGAAGGGGAGGACTCGCCACTCTATATGCCGTGAGCTGATTATCGAGCCTTCATTGTAACAGTCGCGGGTGCACTGTGTGTGCGTGTGGGGAGTGTAGCAGTAGAAAATTCAACTGTAGTGCTGGTGCATTAATGGGAAACCCTTAATGTTTGAGCACCCTCTATGAAACGTCAAGCTACCCCACAGCACCCTCCTAGAGAAAATCTCTGGCGCCGGCACTGTGCGAGAGTCGGGGGGTGCTAGTGGAGCCTCGCAGCGGCAAAACTGTGGCGCGCTTACACTCTAGGTGCGCCGCATTTGCGCTTCAGATGAGGCTCAAGGACCCCCCAACGTTACTTCCTTCAAATTAATTTGGTAGTCATATTTGCGGCACATCTATGAATATAATTGTAATGGTAGGTTTATTTTAACAGTAAGAGTATCAAAAAGAAAATCCATAAATTGATGTTATATAAAAGATAAACATTTATTTGCATTTAACTGTGTGAAATAAGTATTTGATCCCCTTGCAGAACATGTGTTAGTACTTGGTGGAGAAACCCTTGTTGGACACACAGAGGTCAGGCGCTTCTTGTAGTCATCAGGTCTGTGCACATCTCAGGAAGGATGTTGGTCCACTCCTCTCTGAAGATCCTCTCCAAATCCTTCAGGTTTTGAGGCTGATGCTTGGCCTCTGGAAGCTTCACGTTCCTCCACAGATGTTCCATGGGATTAAGGTCCGGAGACTGGCTAGGCCCCTCCCTCACCTAAATGCGCTTCTTCTTTAGCAGCTCCTGTGTTGCCTTGGCCGTATGTTCAGGGTCATTGTCCTGCTGGAAGACCCCTCCATGACCCATGTTCAGTGTCCTGGCTGAGGGAAGGTGGCTATCGGCCAAGATCTTACGTTACATGGCCCCGTCCACCCTCTCCTCGATGCAGGGAAG